CCATCATCTTCTTTTGAGGTAAATTGGTGCCTTCAGGAGCAGATGTGTCTATCATGAAAAGTGTTAGGTTATTAAACATTAAATGCCATATTCTGTAGGTCTTCAAAGTGTTTGAAGACTATCTATCTAAATACATCTGTTTAACCTTAAAAATAGATCTAATATGACTATAAGTTTAATTATTATAGATGATGTATTTTTAATTATACATTACATTTTAAAATGGGTTGCATAAGCACAATACCCCAAAATAGAAATATACATAGAGCATAACAAAATTTCCCTTAAATTTGTATCAATAAACCAAAATCCATACTAATGTAAAATATTTAAGTTTAATAGTTGTTTCTGGATTAATATAGATTTGATAAACTACCTTTTATCCTATTATTTCTACTATAAATCAACATGCTCTAGAGATACATGCACATCAGTGTTTCTTTTTTGTTTTGTTTTGGTTTTGGTTTTGTTGTTGTTGTTTGTTTGTTTTTTCAAGATAGGGTTTCTATGTGTAGTTTTGGTGCCTGTTCTGGATCTCTCTCTGTAGACCAGGCTGGCCTCAAACTCACAGAGATCTGCCTGCCTCTGCCTTCCAAGTGCTGGGATTAAAGACTTAAGCCACCACCACCCAGCCACATCAGTGTTTCTTATAGCCCTGTTCACAGCAGCTGAGTTATGGAACCAACCTAGACATCCCATAATGGAGAGATGGGCAAAGAAAGATGTTTTATCAGCACAATAGTATTATTTTCATCCATAGCTAAAAATGAAGTATGTGGCTTGCAGGAAGATTGAATATAAATGGAGATAATCACACTGAGGGAAAAAAGTCACCCTCAAAATAACAAGTCCTCATGGGATTGGGGATGTTTGACAAAAAGATGGTTTTTGTCCTGATTTTCCCCTAAAAGCAATAAAGATTTCTCCCACAATAAAAATAAATCTTTATCAGAACCTAAAAACACAGTGACCAATGATGCTTGACATTGACTCTTTTTCTTCTAGGCATGGAACCAGTGACAGTGATCACCTGGATACCAGCTGGTATTTCCATCTTTGGAGAGCTGAAGAAAAGATCCAGGCACCCCAGATGTGGCAGTCTGCCCACTGGACCCACCAACTTGAGCATTCTGATTTCAATTGATAGAGCTTTGGCACCTGATGCATTGTCATTATTTATAAATTCACTGGTACATTCATTCATTTATTCACTCATTTCAATTTTTTTTATTTTGGGGGTGATATGTTGATTGCATGGGGTGAATTATATTCAACTGTATAATTTTCTCTGAGACTGTTCCATCCCCCATGATCCAAAGCCCTCTCCTTTCTCAAACCTCCCCAATCCCATCAGGCCACTTTACTGTACACAAAGTTTGTACAGCTTCCTTCATGTATTCAGGACATACACTATTTCACATTTCTACCACATGTAGGAGCCCCATATGAGAGTCATGCAGGGCCTGTTGTTCTTCGAGTGACTTCTTTGTCTCAATGTGATTACCTCCAGTTTCATCCATCTTCCTGCAAGACATATACTTCATCCTTACCTCCGGATGAAATTGATGGCATCCTGTTTGTAAAACATGCTTTCTTCTCCTCTCTGTCTTTGTGGGATGTCTAGGTTGCTCCATCACTCAGCTTGTGAACAGGGCTGTAAGAAACACTGATTTGCAAGTATCTCTAGGCCATGTTGAGGTAAAGTCTTTGAGGTAAATACCAAAAGCTGGCAAACATCCTACAGAAGTTCTCCTCCATCCCAACCCCTACAGTAACCCAAACGGTTTACATTCTCACTGACAGTCCACAAGGGCCCCCTGTTCTCCACACCTCCTCCTCACCTCCACCCCAGCATTAGTTCTCCTTTGCTTTCTTCATGCTCACCATTACCATTCTGACAGGGACAAGATGGAATCTCAGGGTAATGTTGGTGCCTCCCTCAGCTGGCTAGCAAGGATGAACACTTCCCCCATGCCGGCTGACTTTTGTAGTTCAGCCTCTGACAGCATGATGTTCACTGGCATTGGCCATGTTGGAGGAGCTGAGTCAGCCATGGAACTTATGGAATGCCACCCACCAGATAGCAAAGCTATGATGGGTACATCCTGGAGAGACAGAGCTAGAGGGCTGGGGGGTTGTCTCCTTGAACTCCCCCAGATCCTCCTGCCTCTGCTTCCAGGTTGCTTGCATTAAAAGTGTGTGCCATCAAGTTTGGCTAAAAAAGATTGGCTTTTAAAATATTTGTATTTTGAAATTAGAATTTGATTGCTTTATTTCCCTGTCTTTCTCTTCCTCCTTCCCTTTCTTTTTT